CCTACATTCTAAGAGACGCTCTCGACTAACTGAAACCAGATGTAGGTGACCTGCGCACACTCCCCGACCCGAACCCGACCTCACACCCCCAGCATGCTAGGATGCAGGGATACACGGCAGCGCGACCTACCCCCGGTTCTAGCCATCAATGGCCTGGCAGCAGTCCATGGTCGGCCACTGGGCTGCCGTCCACCCTCGACAGATCCCCAGTTGAGGCATCGACTAACCTACACCCCTTAACATCGCAACTACCTCCGGTAAACAGATGAACCTCCCATGCCACAGAAATCCGGGGTCCAATGTCAGTAAAAGATCAAGTAATCCATGATAAAGGATGTTGTGATGTTAACGAGCCAGACGTTGAAGAGCCAGCTATAGAAATTCTCTCCCCTCCCCCCCCCGCGGTCCGCCCCCATCCCCCCCTAACTTCTCCTCCTGCCCCTTCGCTGCCTCCATCGAAAGGAACGCCCTGATCACGGACACTTCCTCAGCCCCGACTCGGGACAGACACATTTCCTGTCCTACTCCCACAAAGGCACCCAGTTCCCACCCAAATTATGCCTCTGCCAACCCCTTGCACTTATCTGCCACCACAGCGATATGACGCCAACCCATACATCTCCCCCAGCCCCAGGATAGAGCATCCCCCAAAATCTGTCCCCACTCCCTCCAGGGCATTCACCTCCCACCTTATGAAGCCCCTGCAGAGTAAAAGCTCTCCCCTCAAAGCCAACCCACAACCACATCAGAAGAAAATATTGACATTGACGCTTCAGAGGAGAATGAGAAATCAGGATGTTGACGAGGAAAATGATAAACTACCCCCCCTGCCCCTCTCTCCTTCTCCCCCTGTCCCTCTGCTGCCTCCACCGAAAAGGACCACCCCGATCACAAACACTGCTTATCAGTCTCAACTTTTGGACAGACCTACTTCCTCCCCTTGCTCCCTCCGAGGCATCCAGTTCCACCCAAAGTATGCCTCTGCCAACCCCTTGCCCTCATCTGCCACTGCTGGGACATGATGCGCACCCATACATCTCTCCCGGCCCCAGATTAGAGCATCCCCCCAAATTTGCCCTGCTCCCTCCAGGGCTTTCACCCCCCAACTTGTGAAGCCCCTGCAGAGGAGAGCTCTCCTCCGTAAGACTTTTTTTTTTTCCCCCCCCCCTTCCCTCCCCCGCAAGACTAACCCACCAACCCCAACAGAATACTTCATTGGAGCGCAAAGAAGAGAATCAGGAAATAAATCAGAAAACAAATCAGAAAATAAATCAGAAAACAAATCAGAAAATAAATCAGAAAACAAATCAGAAAATAAATCAGAAAATAATAAAGAATTAGATTTCATTTATCTAATAGTAGTAATAATCCGTAATGTAACTTATTTTATTTCTTTCTATTTCTTAGTTGATCTATTGATTCTTAGACGAGTGAAATTAGATTGAGTGTTTGTCAGAAAATAAATCAGAAAATGAGAATTCATTAATGGAGAAAAACGGAAGTAGTAGGATATTATTTTCTTCTTTCAAATCCTGATAATGATGACGATCAACGCGCTGATCATGACGATGATGAAGACTAACACAGGCCTGATGATGACGACGATGATAATGATGACAACGAACATCACCTTGATAATGATAAAAATGGTGACGAGCAGTGAGATAAGGGTAATGAATCAGCACCCTGCTGATGAATGATGAAGGAAAAACAGCGTCCTGATGATGATGGCGAACAGCGCCGTAATGATGGTTCGATGATCAGTGTCCTGATGATGACACACAGGACCCTGGTGATGACTATATGAAGATGAGAAAGCACCCTCAAGACAATGGCGCACAGCGTCGCGATGAAGATGGCAAACAATGCCGTGAAGATGACAACGAACAGCGCCCCGCTGATGATGATAATGATGACGAACAACAGACCAGCGCCTTGATAAGGCAGAAATGATGATGATGATGATAATGACGCGCAGCAGCCTGGATGATGATGATAAACCGCGCGTTGTTGCTGAAGACGAACTGCGCCGTGACGAGCATGACAGACTGCGCCCTGATGATGGTGATGAAGATCAGCAACTCGATGACAATGATGATGATAACGGCAATCAGCGTACACCTTCTGAGCGGCATCGAGGATGGATGCCTTGCTTACCTGTGGACTTTATGGTCCAGGAGCAGCAGCTCAAGCACCCTCCGGGGACGACGGAGGTCATCATACAATTTGCGGAAGAACTCCGAGAAGCTACCAAGAGTATGCGAAAGGCACAATAGGTGCTGGCTGATCAAGCCAATAAGCACCGCCATCCTTCTACCTTCAAGAAGGGAGACCCGTTATCGACAAGCATGGACAAGTTTTGCAGTTGAAGGTATCGAGGTGGCGCAAACCTTGGGAGATATTGCATGTTGTCAGTAATGACGGAGATGGGCCTTTTTTTCCTTATGGACATACCTCCGCATCTGAAGACTTGCCCTGTGTTTCATTCCCCCAAGTTGAGTGTATCACACTGCCTCGAAACTCGCAGGCAGAAGGACGATGCATCCTCCCACCACGGATGGATATGCCGACATTGACAGAATTGTGGAGCAAAGACTGTTGAGTCGCACTGAAGACGAAGACCCGACATCATCTAAAGGGTCCAGTTCAAGCACTACCCTAATGAGGAGGAGGACCAATGGATAGATGGCACTGAGATTGAACTGGCGTCGCTGCCACTTCGTGGCCTTGGACATGTAAGAGTCGTACAAAACCCAATTGTCTCGGTATTTCTTACCGTGAAAACCAAGCCGAGTTTGATTCTCAAGGAAGTACTTATGCTTGATTCTTTGTCGACCCCAGGTAGGGTGTCTACGAAAGACCCATGCACGAAGTTGTTGAAATATCCGGAAATCCATACGGTGAAAGATTGCAGAGCATTCCGAAAACTTAAAGTAGAGCTAATCCAAATGGTACCTCAAATAGATGCTCAGTCGAAGAGGCAACTCAGGGAGAGTAAACACAACAGAGGGAGCTTGCTTGTATTGTGGTAAGAGTACTTCAAACTGAGGGGGGAAGGACTGGTTGGGGATGGTGGGATTTGAACCGGCAACCTGCCCAATTAATTCCAGTTTTACTGTTTTGGTTCTTTTTCCTGTTCCTGGGATTTGAACCTGGAACCAAACAAAGTGTACAGTTTTTTTTTTTTTTCTCTCAACGGTTCTGAAGCGTGCGAGTTTTTGAGCTCGGGACCTACTTGTACAGTCTCTGTTGGCCTACTAGCATAGTGGTAGGATCTCTTTGGCTGGTAGTTTTAGGCTTTTCTTTTGGTAGGGCAGACACCGTAGGCCCAGGCAAGTAGCTGCTCCCTCAAAAGTGACTGATTGGGGCAAAAATCTCATTGCAAATTCATTCATGGTATTTTTGCTGCTTGGTGAGACTACCGTCTTCACCCGAATAGAACGCCCGGTCATTATAGCTGTATTTGGCACAACTTTCAGCCCAGATACAGCAATAATTACCGGGCGTTCTATTCCGGTGAAGACAGTAGTGGGGCACTGCTTTCACCACTGCAAAGAGAGAGAGAGAGAGAGAGAGAGAGAGAGAGAGAGAGAGAGAGAGAGAGAGAGAGAGAGAGAGAGAGAGAGAGAGAGAGNGAGAGAGAGAGAGAGAGAGAGAGAGAGAGAGAGAGAGAGAGAGAGAGAGAGAGAGAGAGAGAGAGAGAGAGAGAGAGAGAGAGAGAGGCCATATAAAGTGAGAACTTGGTGTTCACTGGACAGTTTCTTGAGGCCATTGTTGCATGGTGCTGAGGGAGGCAGGACCTCCAATTCTTCATCACCTTTTTCTGGTTTCATCTCTTATTTTGGATGTGTCTGTTCAGTCCTCATTTTCTGAGTAGTTGCAATCAGATGTGTAATTGAGATTTTGGGAATTTGTCATAACCGAAGTTTTTACATTTTGGGCGCAAAGGTTGAAATTGGCGCTTTGTGGAAGTATATACTATGTACTATACATAGGCTTGAGGTATCTACACAGGCAGGTATGGGAAAGAGTTAGGCTTGAGGCATCTACACAGGCAGGTATGGGAGGAGTAAGGCTGGAGGTATGTACATATACGGCTGTAGAAAAGAGCAGCTCGTGCATCTCAGGCAGAAATGAAACATACATGCTCCTACGAAAGAAAATTCACAATGTTGAACAAGTCCAGTCAGCCTACACACACGAAAAAAAACAGAAAAAAAGAAACGCAAAACACTGGAAATGCGTTTCGACATAGCAACTACCAATCACAGAGATCGAGAAGAGGGGCCAAAAAAAGAGACCAAGAATATACTAAAAATAATAAAATAAATATACACAAAGACGACTGCCTTCTGTTTTACCGTGGGCTAGCCTACTGCATGACCGCCTGCAACAACTCCACTGACCCATGCACCTTGCCCTTCTGCTCTTTCAACCTACGCCTTCTGCACGCACCCCCCCCCCCCTCCCCCCCAAGCCCCTCATAAAACGGGAAAAAGGAAACCGAAAAAAAACTTGCCTCTCTGGCACGTCTTTCCTAGCTAAGTCCTCCCTCTCATTGCCATACGTGGACATTTGCAGTTATCGTCTTTCTCTGAGTTGCTGGGAGGGTAGCGCCACCATCCCGAGGCCAGAGTTTGACAACAAGTGTGCAGCATCATAAAGGAACACTTACTTGGGTGCAAACTGCATCATTGCCAGAAAAGAATGGCTGAATAGTACTGGGGTGGGATTACAAAAGAGAATAAAAGAGAAAAAGAAAAGAAAAAAAAGAGGCAATAAATTACATATAACTTAATATAAGTATACTCCAGACTCCAGCCATTGTGAGCGAGGAAGCAAGTCAAAAATCCTGACACAGCAAGAGATTGGGGGGGGGAGAGGAGGATGGAAAAGACTGGCGGCGAAGAGGGAAAGGGTTGGTATGGAAGCGAGTCAAAAATCCTGAAACAGCAAGAGAGGAGAGGGAGAGGAGGAAGATGGAAAAGGGCTGGCGGCAAAGAGGGAAAGGTTGGAATTGGAGAGGGCGGGAGGAGTGGGAAGGCGGGAGGTGGAGGGGGCAATCACACGTTGAGAGATTCAACCAGACAAGTGCATACATTGAGAATCCATTCATGTAAAAGAACTGGCATGTGCGTCGGCATATGAACAGAGCGTTTCTTGCTTTCACCTGTTTCTCCCCATGCAGCATCCCTCACAGAACTTGCAGTTTTTGCCTTGTACTTTAGGTGTGCGACTATCCCCGTCACACAAAAATGTGCGCTGCATCCCTGGAAGCATCAAGTGCTTTCACTGCAAGTAAATCAGGAAAGAAGCTTCAGATATGAAATGAAAAAGAATTCCCAGCAGCAGCCTTCCCTCTCGGTTCGGATGACTGAGGGAGCGAAGGATGCTTCAGGTTGACCTGTTGCCGTCCGTCGTCGAGCGCACAAAACAGTAGATCGTAGTGTTTCGCTAATGAACGTGACAGGGATCTGGTGCATGGGGGGGGCAAAAAACCTTACAGTGAGCTGACTGCTGACTTTAGCAAAGAGATGAACACAGTAACAAACACTGTTTTGTGCAAGAAGAAACCCTCCGAGTGCGTTGCGCAAAAAAAAAAAACAAGACCTCTCAGTGTGCCGAGGACTGGAGCAGAGAGATGAAGAAGGTCAGTGTGTTGCAAAGTTGAAGAGAGTATATGAAACAACTGCAGGCCTTGTGCGTTGCAAGGGGCCATGGACATTCAGCATGACTCTTTTGCAGGTCATCTAATCCTGAAAAAGAACCATGACAGGCTGACGAGCAACTCGGCAAAATATCTCCGAATGTACACAGAGGGACGGTGGGCCAAACTACGAATTCCAAGCCCCTGCAGACGCCGAACACACGGCGAACAGTGAAAACTAGCGCCACTTTCTATGAGATACAAATGTACAGGTGAGCTCCGCACAAGCACACCGCCTTAACTCCTTCCAAGAGTACACACAAAAGGACCATTGCCAAGCACAGATTCATTCTATGCAAGGACTCTGGACTTACTCCTTCAGCAGCTTCCACCGCTTGCAAGACGATGGCATTCCTGTTCCTGGCCACCTCTGAAGCCCAGTGGATTTGTCAAATATGAGATCAACAGATCGATCCCCATCAACCGATCGATCCGCATAGGAGAGAGATGCTAAGCGCAACAGACAATGTTTGCGATTGGTATATTACTATATTCCCGGCAAGAACTGCTTACCAGAAATAATTTCTGCTCATGACGGCATCCAAAGCCCGGTGGAGTTGTTTGGTAGGCGATTGACCGATCGATCCGCACACGCGAGCCAAACCACACTGGAGCCGGATGCCAAGCGCAACAGACGATCCATGATCGGCATATTCCTGACACGATCTGCTTACCAGAAAGAAGATCTACTCAGGATGGCCTCCAAAGGCCGGTTGGATGCATTACACCCAGGAGGCTCCAAGCTTGTTGACTATGGCCTTCATGATACTCTTTCACTCTCTCACAAACTCATCTTTCTCAGGCCCCTCATAAGCATTGCTGCGAGCGAACCTTTCACTGCTGTTTCGTTTTCCTTGCATGAATGACCTCGAGCCTCCACGACTCTGATGTCAACACAGATTGAGGCAAGAGTTGGCACTCCCTCTCCTCTCCTCTCTCTCTCTCTCTCTCTCTCTCTCTCTGTGTTCGAAATCTTCCCTTCTTGGATATGCAGGATAGTATACATGTGAGCAATGGTACCAGGAAAGACGGGATTGGAACCCGCGACTTTTCTAGTGTCCTTCCAGATTAAGTGCTCGTTCAGATTACAGTCCCCTTTCAGATTACAGTGGCCTTTCAGATGTACAAGGGGCAAGCAATTACCACCATGCACAACTCTGTGCACGCGACGGGGAAATTGCAAGCCCTGCCACCTAGTGGCACCAACTCCGTAACGTGTTCGACTTCCTCGGCCTCCACAGTGTCAGCAGGTTCCTCGCAATACCGATGCGCAACCAATCAAAGATAAACGTGGACTTTGATCTTTGAAACAGCCCCCCCCC